GGGGCTTAATAATCTTTTGATCCTTTTCCGCCAAAGGTTTCATTGATTTGGTTCCGTAATCATGAAGTGGCATCCAATATCCCATATAGGAATGCCATATTTCATTGATTCATGCATTTGTTTCGATGATTCGATGACTCAATAACTTGTTCATTCGCTTTGGTTTCCATTTAATGGCTTGTTGATAACCCAATAATTATAATTCTCTGTTATTAATAGTCGTAAATAAAACATAATCTGCGTCACATTCGATAACAAAGTCATTTTATTTCATTAATAATTATTCACTAATTAAAGGCATTCAATTAAATGCAATGCCAATTGCTCCAAAGCCTATAATTATTATGCCAATGCCTTGATTAAATCGAAACCAGTCGGAATTGTTTCCTGATTGAGTCTATTTTGGGGCCAAGGTCCAAAAGAAGAAGCTTAGATCTTTTCTCTTGCTATTCGAACAACATGCTGGACATGCGGCAGTGCCCCTCGGTCGGTTGTGGCATTTCTCCCTGGGTTCAGCGCGTGGCCTGACGTGCATTTTGTGGAATTTTCCATAATTTGGTTGAACATTTTCATAATCACTCCGGCAGCAGGGCAGAAAGTCCTCTTTAAAAGTCACCTTCAAGCTGTCTGCAATCAAAGTTCAAAAAGGGGCGCACACACACACCAACACACACAAACACTCGCTAGCACTAACACTAGCTCACTCATACGTACACATGTGCATTCAAAATGGCTGCCGCGTTACTTCCGCCAAGTGCTGGCACGCTCTGTGGAGCCTTTGGCCCATTCAGCGGGGCTTGCTCTTGGCCATCAAAGCTGTGGACGGGGGAGCTGCTGCTGCTGCTTCTGTTGGCGGAATGTTGTTTTATTCCTCTCTTTTTTCTTGTTTTTCTTTTTTTTTGGACTTTATTTCGCATAATTTTTGTGCCTTTGTTGAAGGGCGGCGGGAGGATTGGAGCCTTTGACGCCTTTCAAAGCCAGGCATCCGAGGCGTCCTTTATGTGTGCGTGTGTGTGTGCGTCAGTGTGTGTGTGTACTTTTGTTCCCAACTCCTTCTAATTGTTTGCTTGTCTCTCTCTCTCTCTTTTCCCTCTATTTATGAGTGTGTCTCTCTCGCTCTTTTCTTCTCCCCCCTGTGTGTGTGTGTGTCTTTTTCTGCACCCTGTTGGTTCCGTCCCTGCCCCCCTCTGTCTCTGCACATCGGCTTTTGTTTAGTTTTTACGTCTGGCCAAATCCGTAAAGCGGCTCGTAAAGTTAGGCAACAACAATAAAGCTCCAAGAGCAACAACTAAATAAGGCATATGCCCCAACGACAATGGAGCCCAAGTCCTCAGCCAACCCTACAACTTGCACTCGTACGTTGTCATCTTGCTGAAGGGTATAGGGATTTTCCTAGACGGTTTGCAACGAAAGAAGAACTTTGGGACTCTCTTAATATCCAAATTCCCTTGTGGAGTTTCTTCTTCATGGATAACTATTTCAAGATATCTCCCAGATCCCCAGATGCGGCTATATCAAGTAATCAATTTATGTTTATTCCTAGGGCTACAAGTAAAACCTATTTTTAATGCACTTAAACTGAAACCTAAACCACATTTGCAATACATAAAATATTAATTTCTTTATTTTCGATTTTTCTTAATTTTTTATATATTTTTGTTTCCTGTATAGGAAGTTAATAAAAATGTAATAATATTTTTTAATGTAACTGGAAACTCTTAAGCGACTGAGGGACCTTGAAGGGTATCCTGGGCCTCGGTCCCTCCTTTTATATTTTTATTTCTTCATTTTCAAGCTAAGTTTTTTTTCTCCCTCAAGCCGTTGTCGTTGTTGTTATACGTTTTTATTTATTTTGTTGTTGTTTTTTTCGAGGCTCAGACAACTTAATGCTATTTGCTCTGCACACACACACACACACACACGCACACACCTTGGTGTCCCCTTGGCGCGACTCTCCTCAAAGGCTGCCTCTTTGTTTGGAGTTTTTAACAACTTAAGCACGTCGTCCGTATTGGTTTTTCCAGGCGCACTTCTCCGCCCCCCCCCCCCCCCCCCCTCGCCCTTCCCTTGATTTTCCTTCGCTAGTTTTTGTTGTTTTTTCTTTCATTTTTTTCATTTTTTACTTCCTGCCTTTGCCTTTGTGAAAATAATCACGCGCGCGCCCTTCGAGGGTGCTCCACGACGATGTGTGCCTATTCTATGGCGGATTTTCCCTGGCTTTTTCACACTTGGCTTACTTCCGGCGCCCGGCTATTGTTTTCTTTTAATTTGCCAGGGCTTTTCTTAGGCTGTGAGGATCCCCCCCGAGATAGTTCATTGCCCATTGATTTCCGACTTTCTCCCAGCTGCAGCAGCACTCTCAATTATTCATGTAATATTTGCCAAACACAAGCCAATCCACAAGCACTTAGTGCTGCCAAAGGGGTGTCGTGTCGTGTAGAGTCGTGTCTCACCTGCCGCCTGCCACATGCCACATGCCGCCTGCCACACGCCGCCTGGCAGCTGTCTTTGGCAACTGGCAAACCTATTAACTTTTCTGTGAGTACCAGCCCCACCTGAACGCCCGGGCGAGGACATTTGTCGTTGGGGGCTTTGTTGCTTAATTGATTTTAATACAGCCCTCGCCCTCGCCCTCGCCCTCTGCTCGTGGGGGCAGCGAGTCCTTCGCGTTTGAGTTCCGAGTCTATAAATTGGCTTTTTCCTTTACGTTCCTCTTCCTTTTTGCAGATGCAGCAGATGCCTGCCTGACTCCTACTCCTTCTACTGTTCGCGTTCTGTCCATTTCTCCATTTCCGTTTCCGTTTGCAATTGCAAAGATCGAAATGGAATGGAGTGGAGCGGAGTGCTAGTAGAAGAAGTACAGCCAAAGAAAGGAGAAATGCCATTTATTGAATTGTATAAATTTCTATACATTGACAGCGACTGTTTATTCTGCCCAGCCATGTGCTCATGTGCTCATGTGTCCTGGTCCTGGTCCTGGTCCCGGTCCCGGTCCCCTCCTGTGTAAAGGGGAAATGGGAATGAGAATGTGGTGTTTTGTTAAGCTTTATCGCATTTGCATGGCAAAAGTCTTATGGCCCCACTCGGTGTTGGGGGTCAAGTGGCTGGCCTGGCCTGGCCTGGCCTGGGCCCGCCCTCGGGTCACTCATTTGTTCTTTTGATTGCGAAAACGTTTTTGCCACCGCCCCTCGTTCCTTCTGGCAGGGCTTTTGTTGTATTAGTAAAATAAATTACCATTTAGTGCTTTTTGCCACTTGCACACACAAACACACATACACAAGGGGAAAGGGAGAAAGGAAGAAAGAGAGAGAGAGAGAGAGCGAGATCAACCCCTTTGGCTGTCACACATGGTCGAGTGTTGTCCTTTGGCTTGCAAATGAAATTATTGCTAGAGAGCTTTTGCATCCGTTTGGTTTCCTTGGATTATAAGCCACCATCATCTGCATGTGTGTGTGTGTGTGTGTGTGCTGTATCTGTGTGAGGAGTGCTGCCCCAGTGGAAAGTGCAGGCCATAATAAATTGCCGGCAATCGCATTTCCGTTTCTTTATGCCCTTCGATTACGTTGCGCTTTACTTGCGCCAATTCTTTTGCTCCTCTGAGGCACCCCTTCCCTCCCTGCTGTCTCTTCCTCCCCCTCCCGTAATTGAATATATAATTTTTTGCAGCACACTTTACCCTCCGTCTCACATATGTCCCTGTCCCTGTCCCCGTCCCCTGTTCCTGCCTGCCATTTGAATATAAATTGTTTTATCTGCTTCTGAAAAATATTCATTTCAATTTATTTCTTCTTTCTTTCATTCGTTGCGATTACTTCTGCTCCTCCTTCTCCTTCTGCTGCTGCTTCCGCTTCTATTTGATTCTCTTTTTTCATTCCTTTTCTTTTCTGTTTTCTGTTATTTAATAAATTATTTATGCATTGTCATTTGGCGTCATCCGGCGTGTCGTTTCCTACGACTGTGTGTGTGTTTGTGTGTGTGTTTGCTCCTGCGCCGCTAAGTATGCAAACATTTCTCATATACAAATACGCGATTGCTTTGTGGTGACAGGGGGGTATGGGCAGAGGGGGCTGCTGCAAGGGGAGTGCAGAATTTTGGAACATTAAACAGCTGCGTGGCCTTTGATAACTCCAAAGTTGGCAATCTCTTTCCAACGCACTCAAAGCAAAAGGGTATTATTAATGATACCCTGTACGCAAGTGGCATCAAAGGAGTGTCTGTTTGGCAGGAAAAACAACAACAACAGCCCGATAGAAAGAGCAGAGCCCATCAGATGTGTGAAACATAGACGTTCTCTCAAAATGAGCCCCGAAACATATTAATGGAGGAAGAACTAACCGACAAAAAAATACATTTTAATATTTCAAAAGAATTTTCAGTCAGCACAAAAACCTTGCTTTAGACCGAAGAACATCTATTTTAGGTGTTCTGAAAATCCTTGAAATATATTTAGATTCCAGCATCGAAAAATCTGGAAATTTATACCTAAAAAAACGTGAGAAATCATCTTTATATCTGATACCTTAAAAATTCAAGCTAATTCATTACAGATATTCAATTCAAAAACAATTTTTAAGTTCTGGAAAACATTTATAATAAGAATAAACATAAATATATAAGGTTTTTTCGCAAAAGAATCAGCAATACTGTTTACTGGGAGAGAAAGAGCAACCCACACTACTGCCATCTCGCTTACTCCTTTTCGTTGATTATTGCCACAAAAAGAGAGAGTAAAAGGGACAGCAGAAGTAACCACAAGTTCTCCCCAAAAACTACAGTATTTTTCTCCACTTAAAAATCTTTAAATGAAATACCATCCCTGGGTATCCGCCAGTCGATACCCTGCACTCTGGAACTCCTTCTTAATAAATTGTTTGCCTAACTTTTGTGGCTCTGAGCCGAAAAGTATGCAACCCGAACATGTCCTAAGAACATGAGCAAATTTAACTTTTGACTTTTTGATACTCATCCTCCCCCCTCTCTTCCTCTTTCCCTCTTTGCAGTGCCAAGCAAGCCCCAGAATCTCACCGTACTAGATGTGTCCGCGAACAGCATCACGATGTCGTGGCATCCGCCGAAGAACCAGAACGGGGCCATCGCCGGCTACCATGTCTTCCACATACACGACAACCAGACGGGCGTGGAGATTGTGAAGAACTCGCGGAATTCGGTGGAGACCCTCATACACTTTGAGCTGCAGAATTTGCGTAAGATTTTCGCTTTAAATATTCCTTAGCCGGTGCCGGGAAAAGTACAGTCACGGCCGCCCAAAGAGGGGGGGGCGGGGTGGGCGGCCATCAAACTGTCGAGCAGTCAAGCAGTCAATGGCGGAACGCGAGGCACTTGAAAAGTTGGAACGCCCACGGGGCGGAACAACAGCCTACACCTCCTCGAAGCTCCCCGCCGTGGAATACCAATAGGGGGTGGGGGTGGGGGTATAGGCCGGAGCTATTATTACCTCTAATTGAAGCCCGAGTCAAATTGTTTGCCCGCCGCTTTGTAATTAAATAGTTTCAAGTGCCTGCTGCCACTCGCTTGCCACTTTTTGTTTGTTAACAACTTTTGACGCTTATAATTGTGCACCCGCACCCGCACCGTGCCCCATGCCCATGCCCCATGCCCCAGGGCTGGAAATGAGCATCCCTAAGATACAGCACAAGCATTTTTGGTGGCATAGTTGTAGCTGAAGCTGAGGCTGAGGCTGAGGCACCGCGGCATTAGCAGCTACTTAGGGGAGCGTGGGATCGGGACCCTGGGAGCGCTGCAATTAACTTGCAACAAAGTTATGCCCCGCATCAGAATGGAGCCCCAACCCCCATTGTTTAATTTAATTATACGCGAGTCAGGTGCTGCCTGCTGCCTGCCGCCGCACCTGCTGCAACACTTGCCACAAAGTTTCGCTCGCACTCACATGCACCAAACATTTCAAAGACTCTTCTTTTTTTCCCTTTGGGGGGGGGGCATGTTTGTGGCATGCAGGTTGCAGGTTGCAGGTTGCATGTTGCCGACTGCCAGCTGCCGGCTGCCTGGCAACGTTTAATTATTCCCAAATTTAATCCAAGTAGATGTCAGCAGTTCTTGCTGTTAATTAAATCCAATTTAAGCTGACAGCTCAGCGCCAGATCAGCGCCCCAGGCTTTTCCGTTTTCATTCGCTCTTTTATTCCGCCACTGCACTGCACTGCACTTTCACGGAAAAATCGGTCCATTGTCCGGAGAGCCTTTCCTTTTTGTTTAATAAAATTTAATTATAAAACCGGACCGGCAATGGAGCCGTCGAGCCGTCAGCCGTCGCGTTGTGTTGTGCTCCCTGCACCCTGACATGCGGTGACGTGTCTCATAATAAGCCCTGAAGGATACACACACATACGAGTGTACCCTGCATGGAGCTGACGTTCTGTTTTCGAAGCAATAAAACCCTCAGCTGCCACTTCAGGACGAAACCGAGTGTAAATGAGACAAACAGAAGCCATCAAACGAATAAATAAATCAGGAATCGGAGCTCCAAACGAATTAAGAGATGGTTTTGTTCCACGTCTAAATGAAAATATGTTTTTTTTTGTGCCTTGCAGGACCCTATACCGACTACCGGGTGATTGTGAAGGCGTTTACCACCAAGAACGAGGGCGAACCCTCCGATCAGATTGCCCAGCGCACGGACGTGGGGGGCCCCAGTGCGCCGGCGATTGTGAATCTCACCTGCCACTCGCAGGAGTCCATAACGATACGCTGGCGAAGACCCTACGAGTTCTACAACACGATCGACTTCTACGTGATAAAGACGCGTCTGGCGGGCCAGGACTCGCATCGGGATATTCGGATCAATGCCTCGGCCAAGGAACTGGAAACGGCGGTAAGTACAGATGAGCAGATGAATGAATGATGGCAGTCTGGAACTCATAAATCATATGCCAGGATGGCCAGAGGCCAGAGTCCAGCTTTTGTGTCATTGTTAGTGGCCCTCGGGGGGGTGTTGCCACTTTTGTTGGACCTTTTCTGGGGTGCCTTGTGATGTGTCAATCGTGCTGGCTTATCGCGGCCATTTGGCTGGGAACAAGCTCACAAAAAAACCCAAAAAACAACGAGAACTTCCATGATAAACTGCCTAATACACACAGATATGCGATAAAAGAGTCGAAAATAAAATGCTGGCAATAATAATTGCATTTTTATGCAACAAACAGCATAGAGAGAAGCCAACGCCGCATACGAGTGGGGGCGGTGGGGGGCGGAGATAACTGTAAATATTTCACAACAATTTCTATCCCAAAAAAATGCACGCGGCTCGAAAAGTGTAGCATACTTTTGTGCGGCCAGCAAAAAAACCCACGATCTACCCCTCAGCCACACACACACACACACACACGCGGCTGTGTGTGTGTACACACATGCACAGGGATTACCCACCTGCGAAAATAAATTAAATTTATGTTGTTTTTCCGGCACAAAACAAAACAAATACAAAAAAACTGCCCCCCTTTGTGCCATGTCTTTCCATTTTATTTAGCGCCGTGGAAAAAAAAGGGGAAAAAATGTAAAAGTTTGTCGTGGGGAATGTGGCAGAGCGAACAAATTTCGCAACAATAAAATTTTATCATACACAGCCGCCTCTCTCCCCCACCTAAAACTGCAAAGTCCTCACCCCTTCCCTCCCTATCTGGCTCTATCTGTTTCTCGTATGCATTTTTTTCTGGTCAGTTTCGAATATTTTTGTAATTGAAATATTTTGTAGCGGCAAACAAGCTTTTTGTTGAACAACTAAACAACAGGAATGGAAATCGTTCTTTATTCTATATTTTTATTTTTATTTCCATTTTCATTCATTCTTTTTGTGTGTGTTACTTACACATACATGCATACCATATGAATATGCCCGAAAATTGTAAAGTTTTCATATGTATAAATAATATTTGAAGATGATTCATTTCCATTTTATGCGGCCTGAAAGCCAACGAGTCCCGAATGAGTCAAGCACTTGAAGGCAATGGAAGATGCAACAATTTCATCGATTTTCGTAGAAAACTGAAAATAAAATAAAACCAATCGAATCTGGGTTCTGACCAAAAGAAAACTGGTTCTAATAATGGCCAGGAAATAAAATCATTTACATTTATTGCTGGAATATTAATTCCAATTCCAGAGATTTTTGCAAGCAAAACTTCACTTCAGATAAAAGGGATTTCTTTTTAATATTTATTATAATAAAATGTTCCCTAAAATAACTCCATGTCTAACTCCATTTCTCTGCTGTTTCTCCCCCACAGATGATTCTGCAAAATCTAACAACCAATTCGTACTACGAGGTCAAAGTGGCAGCGGCAACATTCAGTGTCATAAATCCAAAGAAAATCGTCTTGGGCAAATTCTCAGAGTCAAGGATTGTAAGTAGCACATAAAGATATCAAATGCCACACCCACCCACACCTGCCACAAGCCGTGTGTGCAACCCACACCTGCCACATGGCTGTGAAAAAGTTGGGATTTCCCTTTGAAATTGGCCAAAAGTGCAACACGGAGATAGCGGCACAGCCGTGGCATGCCATAAAGTTGGCAACGTGGCAACGCGTCGGCGTTGTCAGTTTCCATATCAGATTACATGTCCAAAAAACTATGCAGACTTGGGTTTTCCTTGGATGTGCTCTTCCTGTCTGGGGGAAAATGTGGCAATATATATGCATAAATAACTGACAAAGTTCTGCCAGGAGGGGAGTACCTACAATATTATTTCGCCTATGCATTATTGAGACATGTTCGGTGGCCCCGGCCCCCGGGGCGTATGCGTAATGAGTGGCTTATGCTCATTTAATGACGTACAGCACAATGGCCACGCCCACTCATTTGCGGCCTAGCTGCGTTCCGTTTACGAAGGCAACTCTTTCAGCCTGTCATAACAACATCCTTAATGACATTTCAGCCGGAACAAACAAAGGAGAGGGGAGAGGGGAGAGCGGCAGGCCCCACAAACTTTGTTGCATGCATAAAATATAATCTGAAGTTGTGGCAAAAATATAGCAATTTAGTTGACCTCAACCCGTGGCCGGAGCCCTCGTAGGATACACCTACCAAAAAATGGGACAGGATCCCACTCTGGCGGTTTTAATCTTTCGATATGTATGTATCTGGATTTCTCTCAGTGTACTTTCATGGCAGAGTAACAGTAAACCGCAGCGACACGCCCTCATAAGTATGCAGCAATATTTTTTGTGGCCCCCTCCGCCCCTCATTCATAATTCATTGTTCATTGTTGTTGCTGTTGCTGTTGTTGCCTGAATTTCAAGTGGCCCTGCACCTTTTGGCCGCATTTACATGGTCCGCTTCCGCTTTCCGTACCACAGCACAACACGTTGCCGCTCATTTAAATCCTTTTTCTTCGCCGAAAAAACAACGACAGGGCGGTAAAAAACCAAGGCAAATGAAAACAAACTGAAAAGGGATGGGCAAGGGGAAAGGACAATAAAAATAAGGATGCACACACACGCCGTTCAATTTTACATTATCTCTTATATATGAATCTCTTCTCCTTCCTCTCTGTACCAGATCCAACTGCAGCCGAACTGCGAGAAGCTCCAGCCACTGCTCCGGCAATCGCATAACGATTACAACCTGGCCGTCCTCGTGGGCATCATCTTCAGCTGCTTCGGCATCATACTGATCATCATGGCCTTCTTCCTCTGGAGGTAAGTGGCGCTCTATGCTCGATATGGGGGGGCGGGGGAAACAAGTGCAACAGCAGCTGCTTTTCTTCAGTCTTCAGTCGCGTGCAGTTCCATAAATAAAATCGGGGAAGATGTGTGTGCGTGTCAAAGTGTTGCTTCCCCCATTCCGATTGAGTTATAAAAATAACCCAAAAGGCAGATCTCTACATGAACATTTTACGGCGGAGATATGTCGCCTTCGATGAGGGACATTTTCCGAGAACATTCTCCACCGAAAATTGTACACCGTTTAATCTTTATTACATTTGCCCCGCATTTCCATTCCACTTAATGTCCTTCTATTTAAAACACTCGCAAACGATCAGCGGAGCGTTAAGAAAATCGTTGGGGGAAATATTTATCCAATTAGCAGGCGCCACGCCCTCTGATTTCTCCCGCTCCAACTCCCACTTATGGCAAATGATAATTAACACGAAAATATCCAAAATAAATACGAAAGAAGAGAAAAAACAGAATGGAATGTAATCCTTTTGCAGCGTCCACTCAATCCGATCCATAATTAAGGAAATAACTGGCATATCCTTCCTCAAAGGAAGAGACGGAGCAAAAGCAACCAGATACCGCATGCCTTGGCAGGAATTTTTTGTGTTTCCACGAGTGTACCCCGCACATCCTGCACATCCCCAACACCCTGCACATCCTGCACATTCACTGGAAATGTTAATTAAAATTCAAATCACAAAAACAAAAAGAAACCAAGAAGAAACGAAGCCAAAGCCAGAGACAAAGACAAGCAAAACAATTTTAAGTTACTTAAAATCTTTATTAAATGTAAAAGTGGTTAACCCATTGCCGAGCCCGAGCCCGAACCCGACTCCAGGTCCAGGTCCAGGCCGTATCCGCATCCGGATCCGGCTGTAGCCACAGGCAACGCCCCCACACCTCCCCGGCCACACTTTGAGACGACAAAATGTGTAAAGAAAATGAAAAGCGTTTTTCCCAACATCAATGGCAGGAATTTTTTACATATTTTCTGTCGAAGCGATTTTTTATGCTCTGCGAAAAGTTACCCACCCACACACTCCCCCATCCCTCCCGCCCCAGTCCGACCCAGTCCGCCCCACAATTTACCCCTTCTCGAGTTGCCCGACAAATTAATGCCATTTTATTTATTTTTTACAAATAAACGTAGCGGCAGAGGAGTGGAACCAGGAGTGGCAGCCAAGAGCAGGAGGCCATCCCAAGAGTGGTGGCATCCCATTCTTCAAGTTGCCCAAGTTTTAGAGCGGAAAAAATTATATTTTATTAAGCAAACAAAAGCGAATTTCTACAATTTCCTTTTCAATGCAAACAAATAAAAAATTCAGAGGCAGAGCAGAGCCGAGTGGAAGCCAGAGGAAAAATGGAAACCCCGAGCAAAAGTCAGGCGGAAAAAAATGTAGCAAAAACCAGAGAAAAAGGGTTTACATTTTTCTTTTTTTTTTGTATGGGAGGGCGAGAAAAATTCTTGCAAAGCTAGATGCGCGGCTCTCAGAGAAATAATTTACATATTCAGTGCACTAATCAACGTTTAGTGGCAGCCACTGGTGGCATGCATGGGGGACTCGACCGGGCGAGGTATTTCTGGCGGAAGCCCACTTGGCAGGGGATTTATATTTCAATAACTGCTCCACAGTGTGGAAGGTTAACTAAGTTGCTCGAAGGGCTCCTGCTAGGTCCTAGCCGCACACGGAATCCCGGCAACTTTTCCATTAAGTGCAGCTTGTGTAGGAATTTGTTATTGCAACAATTTGCTGCTGGCAACGATAAGCATCTTGCATGGATACCCTTACGCATACACGGGCTGCCATCCAGGTTGAAATTCGCACTGAAGTTCTCTGGAATGTGCGTGCTGGCATGGATGGTTCTCACAGTTACGACCCGTAGAGTCTCTAATTTCTGTCTAGACTCTTTGCAAACAGCCCGTAATTACAGGTGTAAATCATATGAAAAATTAGGTATTTTTTCAAAAAGTGCGCCTTCAGGCGGAGAGTATTATGACTTCAGGATACTAAATCTTTCATTCTTCCCCCTTTTTTCCCCATCTGCATTCCGATACCGAAATAGCAGCAGAAACAACAACAACAACGACCGCAGCAGAGGAAAGGGAAAACTTTTCCCTCTGCCGCTGTGGCCCGTCGTATGGGGACTCGTGTGTGTGTTGTTAGTTTTTCATATTTGATGCAGTTTTGGGAACATTGTTTTTGTGTCGACGGCTTTATTTGCCCAGCCAGCCCCTTGTGCCCCTTGTGTCCCTAGCTCGTGTGTGCGTGTGTCTGGTTTTTCCTCTCGAACTTTTCCCTATGCCAAAAATAGAATAGCCGAGGCTGACAAGAAATTGTTTTCGGCATACTACTGGCAACTTTTGCCAAAAAGTTTCATTTCATGACAGCGATGGAAAATATTCGATGTGGGTCTTGACAGTGAGGGGGCGGTGGCTCAGAGGGGCGGTGGGCGGTGGGTGAAGTATCCTCCCCATCTGGGATTCTTTATCAAGAGTATCAGTGACTGAACCAGATAAATACTTTGCGGAACTGACACAAAAGAAGCTTCCGAACGGCATCGAACAGTGTCGATGTGGCTTGCCATCCATTAAACAATTAACAAATATCGATTCTGTACATGGCAACAAGTATTGTTCAATGCGCTGTTTCTCAATTCCTTAATTGATGGGCGATGCGTTGTAAAACAATAATTAAGCAAGACTTCCTGGAAACAACAAATCGATTCGTAGAGATTGCATTAAACGTGTTAAATATAATTAATGACGATCATCAATGCAAGCGCGAAGGTTAGACCAAAGTCATATGCGAAGATAAGATACGGGTTTTTATCGTAAAGCTTTGGGAAGATTGAAAACTCCGCGTCCAGCGTGCAATTGTTGTTATCACAACAGCTGATGCGTTGCTCTCCAAACTGCCCGCTCTTTGAAAGCTCAAAACAGCGCGCTCTCGCTCAGATGCGTTCGCGCTTGCTCTCTCGCCCGCTCTCTTTCGCACACACTCGTACATATGTAGGGCCAAAGATCAGGCAGCTGACGAAAAGCTTTGGCACCGCGCCGATCTCTTATCAGTGTTGCCAGATTTTGAGCATCAAAATAAGCTAGATTTCACAAAACACAAGCTAGAACAATTTGACTGATTACACGTTCAATGGCAGCATTTGACCACGGTAGACTTAAAATTTCAATGGCAAATAAAGCGGTTTCTTCAAGAGGTTTGTTTTTGCCAGCATCTTTATAAGTCAGTACTTCTGACCAAAGCTTTATAGTGTCATCTGTACTTTGCCAAGGGACTAAGTGAATTTTGCCATATTGGGCAAGAATTCCATCTATATTGCTATAGTTGAAGTGTTCCAATATGGAAATGAGATCATTAGGATTTTTATTATGTTCGCGTACATTTTCTGCTGCAAAAACTTGCAGTTTTTCCAATGTCTCAAAATTATCTGGAAGTCTGAAATTAAACGGCAGATTATTATTTATTTTTAATATCAAATCCTATTGAAGCTTACCTTTCTCTGAGTTGGATAATAAGCTTCTTTCTAAAATCCTTGCACCTCAATTTTACACAATAACCCATAAAAGGCAAACATAAACAGATTTTTCAAGCTTTTCCATTTTCAAATAAGCTAGATCTAGCCTTAAATAGGCTAAAATGGCAACACTGTATGTAGGGCCAAAGAAACACAGTAAACACAGCAAACACAGTAAAACCGATACGGAGAGAGAGAGATTGTGTGTTTTTTCCAGTGTTTGTGCCTGTGCTGCGTGTTTTTTTGTGGCGTCATAACGAAATCGCCTATTAGACAGAGAGGTGTCTGTGGTGTTGTGCGTCCCACCGTGCGGGTATTTTTTTGCGTAGTTGTCGCGTACGAGACTCGTAATTTTGCAATTGCGCCGGCGACACACGGCCTGCATTGCGGAATATGACGTAATTTGTGTAAATCTGTAAGCACTGCAATGCAATTGTAGAGAAGAGACACACACCGCACCTCACCCCATCCCACCACCCCGGCCCCGGCCCCGGTCCCGGCCCAGCCCAAACCAGACCAGCACGCCATGTCAGGTGGCGCGGAAAAGCTCTGTGGAAGCGACGGGCGCGGCAACGCCAGCAGCCCAATGCTGGCTCCAACGACATCGTCGCAAAGGCTGTTGCGGCGTAAATCGCAATGTGGAAATTGGTTTACGTAAGTCCCTCGCGCTGCACCTCCCCCCCAACACACACACACACACACACGCCACACAACAGATCATCATCAAGTGGGTCATTTAGCGCAATTCTCACGTGTGTGCAAAAACCAGAAGAAAAAAACCCAGAAGCTGGAGATAGAGATAGCTACAGCAGAGATGGTGAGAAAGAGAGGCACGGCAGCTCGAGAGAAGTCAAAGTCAGATGCATATTAAATGAGTGGAAACCAAGCCAAAAAGGAAGTAGACGAAATAGAAATAAATACATTTCAGTGCGTAATACGAGTCGCAAGAATAACAAAAGTCGTGGATAAACAGAACAACAACAACAACAACAACAACAGCAGAAGTTGGATATCTATATCTTCGGTGGGTGAGCAGTGCCAACAGGGGAGAGAGGGGGGAAAGGGACAGGAGACAGAATTCGAACTTCGAATCAAGAACAACATATGTAAATAGATTCAAAAGAATTTCGTATTTTTCCGGACACAGCCAAATAAACAGCCAGACAAAAAGCTGAATATCTGTTCTCCGTGCTCCGTGCTCCGAGCTCTGTGCTCCCTGCTCCGTACTCTTGTGCTTTTGATAAGAATAATTGGAAAAATTATCAATGTTGTCGATTGCCATACTCCCATATTCCCAGCAAAAAGCTCAACTTTTGTTTACGCTCCAACTTCTTTTTGTAAACAATGGCATTAATGGAGCTATGGGGAATTCTGGGGAACTGCTTGTCGCGACAGATCTGTGTCAGCCCGGTTCTAAGGGGCAGACCGACCAAAAACTGAGCAACACACACACACACACATAAAGACATATTGTGTAGCAAAAAAGCGCTATCAGCACTTGGTATTAGAGCTAAAAATATAGAATATAGCAGAGTCATCGCTTTCTGATCGAGACAGCTTGGCAACCGATGCGTTAAGGGTAGTCCTCTAACTGCTGTTACCAGGAATCACTTACGTTCTTGTATATAATCTGTAGCACTTCCGATCAAGAGTATCCGTCTGCGGAGTATCGTATCAGCGTAGCCGAATCTCAGAAATTATTCCATGAAATGCAACGAACCGCAGCAAACATCACAAAAACACCAATGAAAAGTTTCTATGGCCTGGGCCACTCAATTCCCATTATGGCCGGCACTTTCACCCAAGTCTAGAATCCAGCTGCAGAATCCGCCAGCAACAACAACAACAACAACAACAACGACAACAACAGCAACAGCTGCAGGCAACTGCAAGCAGAAAAAGTTTCGGTAAACTTGGCAAGTTCTATGCAAGCTTTCCGCTCTCTCCCGCTCTCTCTCTCCATCACTAGCGCTCTCATTCTGGAGTGTACTAGTGAAAACTTGGAAGAAAAGTTTTGCGCTCCTTGTAATCGCTTAAGCCAATTACAAAACTTAACCTCAATTTGTATGTCCTGGGGATGGGGGGTGGATAGGGTGTGGGCTGTGGGCTGTGGAGTGTTGGGAATCAAATACTTAGTCTCGTATTGAAATTGAACAGGGAGCCATAGTAATGCTCACCTGGGCCACCATTGTGTCACTCATTTAAAGCATCCTTGCGAAAATATTTGCACAAACTTCCACAATTTTGCCAGAGGATGGTGAGGCGGAGACACCTAGCCATGAAATGAATATTTCTGTCAGGGAATTACTCCTTTCTGCCTGGCTGCAGCTGAATGCCATTAGTGTGCTGACCAGGCACCCATAACCCGCCCACTCTCCTCTTCCTCCTCCTCATCCTCATCCTCTCTGCTGCCTGCTTATCTATGCATTTTGATTTTGTTAAGAGCATGCCACGCCTTGCCACGCCACGCTGCCGTAACTGATTGCAGCTGTTTTTCATAATTTCCACAAGTTTCGCAAAGAAAGTGTCCCTCTTTTAAGTGGAATTTACAAAGTAGCTCCGCCATTTGTAAAGAAAAAGGATCTGGGGCGAGTCCTTTGGTGGCTGGTCAGTGTGAATTCTGCCCCAGTTCCTGCTGTTCCACTGAGATTCCCCTTCAAAGACGAAGGATGGTGACTGCCTGACAAACTTGATTAACACTTGAATCTCGTATTATCTATTTTCAGCAGAAAGTGCTTCCACGCTGCCTACTACTATCTGGACGATCCGCCACACCATCCCAACGCCCCGCAGGTGGACTGGGAGGTGCCCGTCAAGATTGGCGACGAGATCCGTGCCGCAGTGCCCGTGAATGAGTTTGCCAAGCATGTGGCCTCGCTGCACGCAGATGGGGACATTGGCTTCAGCAGGGAGTACGAGGCCATTCAGAACGAGTGCATCAGCGACGACCTGCCCTGCGAGCACTCCCATCACCCGGAGAACAAGCGCAAGAACCGCTATCTGAACATCACAGCCTGTAAGTGGGAGCTCGATAAGCAGTGCATCAACAGCAGCAACATCTAAGTGTCCTTTTCCCTCGATCCCACACAGACGATCACAGTCGCGTCCATCTGCATCCCACGCCGGGACAAAAGAAGAACCTGGACTACATAAATGCCAACTTCATTGATGGCTACCAAAAGGCGCACGCCTTCATCGGCACCCAGGGCCCGCTGCCCGACACCTTCGACTGCTTCTGGCGCATGATCTGGGAGCAGCGCGTGGCCATCATTGTGATGATCACGAATCTGGTGGAGCGCGGCCGACGCAAGTGCGACATGTACTGGCCGAAGGATGGGGTCGAGACCTACGGCGTCATTCAGGTGAAGCTCATCGAGGAGGAGGTCATGTCCACGTACACGGTTCGCACGCTGCAGATCAAGCATCTGAAGGTGAGTACTCTCCTCGAACTCACGGCAGTTCCATGGAATTAATTGATGTATTTCCGCCCTCAGTTGAAGAAGAAGAAGCAGTGCAACACGGAGAAGCTTGTCTACCAGTATCACTATACGAATTGGCCAGATCATGGCACCCCGGATCACCCCTTGCCCGTGCTGAACTTCGTGAAGAAATCCTCGGCTGCCAATCCCGCCGAGGCTGGTCCCATTGTCGTGCACTGCAGGTGTGTTGCCGCTCCATAGACTCCACGGCTATACCGGCGCCAATCTAAACCTCTTTTTCTTGCCTTCTTTTAGCGCTGGCGTTGGTCGCACTGGCACCTACATCGTTCTGGACGCCATGCTCAAGCAGATCCAACAGAAATCGATTGTGAATGTGTTTGGTTTTCTGCGTCACATCCGGGCCCAGCGGAACTTCCTTGTCCAGACCGAGGAGCAGTACATATTCCTGCACGACGCCCTCGTGGAGGCCATAGCATCGGGCGAGACAAATTTGGCGAGCGACCAGGTCGAGGAGCTGCGGAACTGCACTCCATATTTGGAGCAGCAGTACAAGAACATCATCCAGTTCCAGCCAAAGGACATACACATTGCGTCGGCCATGAAGCAGGTCAACTCGATCAAGAATCGCGGTGCCATCTTCCCCATCGAGGGCAGCCGGGTGCATCTCACCCCCAAGCCGGGCGAGGACGGCAGCGACTATATCAACGCTTCGTGGCTGCACGGCTTCCGGCGGCTGCGGGACTTCATTGTCACCCAACACCCCATGGCCCACACGATAAAGGATTTCTGGCAAATGGTCTGGGACCACAATGCGCAGACCGTCGTGCTGCTGTCCTCCCTCGATGATATAGTAAGTCAATCGAATGAACCATCATTTCTGAGCATTATAAAACCTTTTGCTCTCCACAGAACTTTGCCCAGTTCTGGCCAGACGAGGCCACGCCCATCGAGAGCGATCACTATCGCGTGAAATATCTGAACAAGACCAACAAGAGCGACTACGTGACTCGGGACTTTGTCATTCAGTCCATACAGGATGACTACGAGCTGACGGTCAAGATGCTGCACTGTCCCAGCTGGCCGGAGATGTCCAATCCGAACAGCATTTACGACTTCATTGTGGACGTCCATGAGCGCTGCAATGACTATCGCAATGGACCAATTGTTATAGTGGACAGGTAAAAACAGTGCCCTGCCCTGCCCCGCCCTGCCCCCCTTTTCCGATATCAGTTTCTGTAATATTGTTATTTCCAATTGTAGGTACGGTGGGGCGCAGGCGTGCACCTTCTGTGCCATCTCATCGCTGGCCATTGAGATGGAATACTGCAGCACGGCGAATGTCTACCAGTATGCCAAGCTGTATCACAATAAGCGGCCCGGGGTGTGGACATCCAGCGAGGACATACGCGTCATCTACAATATACTTTCATTTTTGCCTGGCAATTTGAATCTGCTGAAGCGCACGGCGCTACGCACTGAATTCGAGGATGTGACAACGGCCACGCCGGATCTCTATAGCAAAATATGCAGCAATGGTAATGTTCCCCAGCATATCATACTCCAGCAGCAGCAGCTGCTGCACCAACAGCAATACCAACAACATCAGCAGCAGCAACAGTTGCAGCTACAGCTGCAACAGCAGCAGCCACTAGCACTCGCACAAGCACAGCCACAGCCACAACCACAACCACAAACACAAATACAGACCACTCGTAGTCATAGTGAACTAAATGAGACAGCATCCAATACACCCTCCAATACTAATCCCAGCCTCTTGCCCATCTCATCATTGTTACCGCCCACAGTTGTTCCAACATCCAATACCTCCACACCACCACCACTACCAGCACCACCAATATCTCCATCTCCGTCACCACCAACAGTCCAACTCCAACTCCAGTCACCACCATCACCATCCCAGCGAGATATGCCCAGTCCGAGTGGCACTGCAACAACCGGCACTGCAACACCAACACCAACATCAACACCAACACCAAACATCATCCCCACTGCATCCCCAACAAATCTAACCCATACTAATGCCAATTTCCATACTGTTACTAATAATGCTGCTCATCTGGTGAACAATGAACTGACGCCGATGCTCGATGATCTGAACTTTGAACAACATCAACAACAACAAATGCTGGCACTGATGCAACAACAAACGCAACTGCAACAACAATACAACATGCATCATCATAATCACAACGCCAATTCGGTGGCTGGTGAACTGCTGACTCCAACAACAACGCCTGAATCAACAACAACAACAACAATCGCAACTACGATGAACAACAATGTCACAACTGCAGCAGCGACAGATGCTCAAAACTTAGATATTGTAGGCTAAACTAAAGATAAAATTTACAACAGCAGATGGCGATTAGGAGATTAAATCATTTTATAAATGTTTAAAAATATATATATTTAAAATTAACAAAATCTATACAATTACGTATGTATGTATGTATACATAGGAATGTATTTATTAATATTTAAGTCGTCGAAAGCAAAGCGTCTAGCGCATTGTCCATAAATTATTCATTCGCGTATTAAGCTCATGTTTTATTATCCTAATTTATTCGTATTTTAGTTGTTTAACTTTCCAAATGTATACTCTACGAACTATTTAAATTATTTCCCCCCTCTCTTTATATGTTGTGTACACTAGATTTACAGGAAGATTTTACGATAAATATTTTATATATACATTTAGTCACAAGAAAAACAAAAACCCACAAAAAGTCAACAACAAAAGTAAAGGAAAATAGTTTCAATCAAAGCGAACAAAATAAAGCAACTGCAATTACAATTGCAATGCGAACAAATTGAAATGAAAACGTAGAGAAATGCACAAAGTGAACGAGTAGAACTACTATAGTGAAACCAATAATTGTCTCATCATTTACGAGTTTATATACTACATACATTAATGCATAGATACAGGTACATACGAGTATATATACATAATTAATTAATTATAATAGTGATTCGTTAATGCAGGTTAATGCTGCACACACTTGTGCCATGATCTTTTAAGCTCCCATTAAAGCTCCTATTAAAGTAATACTTATTTGTTAATGTCCGCGTTGATGAAGCACTTTTTGCATTTCAAATTGATTCAGTGTCCGTCCTAGTATCTGTTAGCGAACAAATTTTGCTGTTTTCTCTCTTTACGACATTTTTTCTAACCTGTTTTTCCACACCCAAACAAAAAGAAAACGAAAACTCAAGCAAAACCTTAGCTAAAAATTAATTGCGAATTTAGTAGGCAAGAAAACGAATTATTGGCAAGTATACAGATTAACCAATCGCACCTCTGCACGGAGCACATCAGCCACACATCACTGTAAATCCCAAGAGCAACAAAATGCAGATGCAAATCAATTCTCACTCCCTACGGAAGGCACCAAGCACAAGAGCATCACGTTAAGATAAATAATAAAGTGTAAATAGAACTTAGGCAAAGAACTGCTGGAAGAAATCAACTAATTGTAAGCCTCCTTAAGCTATAAATATTGTAAAAACAAAAGCAAACCGAGATAAACTAAATGTAAAACTAAAAATAAACGCAAGCAAAGTATTATTAAAATATACGATCTATGTGAACAAACCGAAAGCCACAATTGAATGACGAAATTCACACGGAAATATTGTTTCATTCTTCATTTAGTGCACAGGGAGTTACCCTATTGATAGGCCCGAAACAAGTGTTGGCTCACAGCGTAACGTAATATTAATCTGTACAGTTCTTAAAAGTTAGCCCCGGATACGGATAAATGTAGTCTTATCTTTAATGTCTGCACTCTGAATTGCCATAAATATGCTGTGTGGCGCATCCGAAAACTATCTGATCCGATCTAGTGAATGGAAAGGTCATGTAGACACACACGCAGCCCCACACAGCAAGTAGAGAGCAACAAAAACTAGGATATATTTTTACATTTTAGTGTAAAATATTGATCACAAAAAGGAAGAGAAAGGATAAAAATGTTTTAAAGACTGGTTTTTTGTACACTTTAACTTGAATAAGCATGTATACTGATTATGTAAACGAATGAATGTATTTCAGTTCTCCCCTAGAATTACCCACGTGTCCTCCGTGCCCGATCGAATGGTAGTTAGACTACCTGAGGAGTGTGGGCTTTGATTGAGGCCAGCGGGGGGACACCTTCAACGTTTCTACTTTCAATCTGGATCTTACCGAAGCGAGATCAGTGCTGCCCCAATCATTTGTCACCCTGACACCGTATAGATCGCTCTACATATTAACCAAATAATGACCAATTTTTGTGAGATTCTGTTTCTTAGGCACTAGACCGACATAGTTAAGATACACGATACACGGTTTACGTTAGAACGGCTTGTAAATTCTCATACTGACAACGGCAATGGTAACAAATGCTTCATCTGTAATATAACAACAAGAATCATAATATTTCGATACGATACCAAAACTTGAGGAACTACGCATTTTAACTGTTAAACACACGAATAGTAGTACGTACAATGAAACTATAGATGGATATTTATATATGTATGTATGGTATATGGTATATGATATATGGTGGTATATGTACATATTGATGTATTGCATGCGTTATGTACATGACAGCCAAAGAAAAAGCTTCGTCTACAGCATTGTGAAGGAGCAAAAGAAAAACCCCAAAAAAAAAAAAAACTTAACGAAATTGCACACACTTTTCGAGCAAATGGAAACCTTTCCGCGACTAAACTACCTTCACAAAAGACAAAACTAAACAAATTAAAAATGAAAAACCACAACAGAATATCTAATTGACGGTGTTATGCAATTTATAAATGTGATGAATGTCAAAGTTAAGCGTAAATAAATTAAATACAAAAACCACAAAATAAACAACAAAAAAATACAACAAAACTTATACAAAAATCCAAAAGATTCGTAAGAAAGAGCTGAATGTAGCGAGAACTTAAGTAAGCATGCCCACGATTTTAGAGCTAAGCATATAGATGATGAATACTACCCCTTATCCAAAGGCAGACCGTAGATTTTAAGGAATGCCCATGCCCATGTCCCCCCACAGTAAGAGCCATAGAAGAAGGGACCTTTCCCAAAGCTTGTAGTGGCGCATCAAGAAGGATAAACGGAAATCGTATCGAGACATTGTCGGTTTATACATATGTATGTCTTGCGATATACAAAACTAATGATATATATGTATGAATATATGTATGTACACTTAAGCTAATCGTAAGCCAATGAAAAAGTTGAAATTGATGCAGAGGAAGATTATAAAACTAATGATAAAAGATACAGATAATGATAAAGCGTAAAAATAAAGAACATCAGATTGCAACTAACATTAGCTGGGCGAACGTGTTTCCACCGTGAAGTCCACAGTCATGAGACCGAAGTGGCTTCGGGGCAGCACATCCGGGGTCCAGGACAACCGAATACCGGTTTCCAACAGAATCTTGGCCATCCACAGATTCAGTCTGGTATAAATTTGACGCTTTTTGGACTGTGCCTGGGCCTGTTGCTCGCTGGGAGGCCGCACATATGCCAAGAAGTGACCATCGGCATGACGCTCAAAGGAGCGCGACAACTGCAGTTGAATCTATGGAAGGCAAATAGCTACATCAGAGCACTGCATATGGCATTGTATTTGGTCTTTACGCACATTGGAGGTGCTAAAGATGCGCTTAACCGTTTGGCTAGCCGTGAAGTTCCAAACGTATTCGGTCAGGCCCTTGTATTTTCCCGACTCAATCAGAGAGACCTCGTGGAGGGGACGCCTCTTTATGCCAGCACTGAAGCTTTTGCAAAAATGCGAAAAAGTCTCCTAGAAAAAGCCAGAAGAGAGCAGCATCAGGATAAGATTGATTCAAGAAATCCAGATTACCTTGTGCACATGAAAGCTCTGGTGGACGGAGCGGGTCGAGAGCCCTGGCTCGGGTGTGCATTCTGGCTCGAGGCAATCATTGAGTAGCTCTATCACATGGTCCAGCCAAGCGGAGTAGGCCAGTGTAGGCTGCACATCCGCATCCACACATAGACTGTTGTTGGCCGGTGATGACGGCGTGTTCACAATCAAATCGCGCTTGGCCGGAAGAGGAGGCTGCTTGCGGGTTTTCACCTCGCCGACGATTTCCGTTGCCTTGACGGGGCTCTTCTTGACCACCGCTATCGTGGACAGCTCAATCGGTGGCAGTTGTTCGGTGACCACGGCTGGCGTGTCCGAATAAATGGGCGGGGCGGTGAGAATGTTGTAGGGCTCACTGATCATGGGCAGCTCGATGTCCAGATCGATCTGATCCGTGGGCTGGTACTGATCCATCAGCTCGATATTGCAGTCCGTCAGCTCGATATGCTGCTCCTCGGGCTCGGCGAGCACATCGCAGTTGGACAGGAGCTGCGAATCGTTGGCATAGTGGATCAGGGCACTGCTACTGTTGCTGGTGCTGTGGCTGGTCGGGGCCGCCTGCATGCTGTCCAAGTTGAAGGCGCCATCGGACAGGTCTGGCAATGGCAGCTGAACAGAAGGAACATTCATTCGGGATTCATTATGGTCTGGCTACGCCTGTACTCACATCAAGATGATCGCCAAAGACAAGTATATCCACCTGTGGGTCGAATTCATCGACCATGCTCAGGCCGAGACGTAAATCCTCCTGTGTGCCCTCGCCCAACGGCGTCTCCAGCCTGGATGGCATCCAAAATGTCTTTAGGCTGCTGGTGAAGTTGCCATAGACCCGTTTGCCCTGTGGTGAGCTGAGTATGCCGGCGAGAACCAGCAGCAAGTGATCGCAGATCTCGTCCTGCATGACCAGCGAGTTGTCTGGCTCCACGATTATCTTCAGCTTGCGGCAGGCACAGGCATAGGTGCCCTTCTTAGGGGACACGCCATTGGCCAGGGCCGTCACATGGAGCCTGGCAGTCGGAAACAAATCCGAGCGCTCGCACTTTACCGCGAAGGTTGTGGCATTCAGACGCTGCACTGCCGGCAGCTGTTCCTGGTCCTCGGCCCACTTGTACTGCTGCCAGAGCTGTTGCTTCTGCTCCTGCCCGATGTTAAGATTCCAAAGGACCTCCCGCGACACCTTGTACACCTGAGCCCTGGGCATAGCCGATCCGAGCTCCCGGCAGGCCTTCACATGCTGGCAATCGATGTCGCCGGCGCTCCTGCAGGCCTCCACATAGCAGATGGCCTTGCTGGACACCACAGCCGCATTCGGCTGTAGGGACAGAGTCACGTCCTGGATGACCACGAAATTCCTGGGCGTCTCTCGCACTTTGGCCACGGCAGACTGTTCCCGCAACGAACAGACCGTTGACCCGGCGCGGAGGGAGATCAGAGAAACCGCATCGAGCACATTCTTGTTCTGCGGACAGGCGGCGTTGCTGCACAGCTGGGCGCGATTGCCATTGATGGCTCCACAGCTGGTGCACTGGCGGACCCCGCGCAAGGTGCGATGGCTTATTTTCATATCTTCACGTCTTTTTTTAATAATTTAAAAACATTAGGGGTGCTCCCCTCGCATATGTTTTTCGCGTGAACTGCATCCCTGGTCAAAAACAGCTGGTTGCTATTAATAATATTAGCTATTGTGTATTCAATTTTAATTTTGTGGGAATCGGGAATCCCCGACCATGTCACACCCCGTGGAGGCCCAGACTCGGCCCCGGAAGTATCCTTTTGTCCACATGCGTATTGCGGACCACAGTGTGCTGGACTCCATCGAGGGACGCCACGTTTGCCGGCTCTGCAATCGCTCGCGGAAGTTTTTCTGCTATAGCTGTCACATTCCGGTGGAGGAGCTGGAGAAGCTGTTGCCGCGTTTGGGGCTGCCGCTGCAGATTGACATCATCAAGCACAAGAAGGAAATCGATGGAAAGAGCACGGCCGTACATGCTGCCGTGCTGGCGCCGGAGCACGTGCGGATTCACACTTATCCCGATATTCCCGACTACCGCCTGGAGAAGGACGTGGTGCTCATCTTCCCCAGCGCCAAGAGTCTCACAGTGCCACAGCTATTCGAGCGAAACGTCCAGCTGAAGATCGACGATAACTATGGCCTGCCCAAAGGACATCACATGGGCACAATGCTACGCCGTCGAGTGGATGAGATTGAGGTTTTGGAGGACCAACCAGAGACCACGTCTAAGCGCAGCTATACTTATGGGAACCTACCCGTCCGCCGAGCAGTCTTTATTGACAGCACCTGGAACCAGAGCCGCGGCATATACGCGGACGAGCGTGTCCGAGGCCTGCGCACGGTGGTACTCCAGAATCGCCTGTCGCAGTTCTGGCGCCATCAGCGTGGCAGCCCGCGATGGTACCTGGCCACCATCGAGGCGATCCATCAGTTTGTACTCGAAGTCCACGTCAATGCCTGGGGTCTCAATTCCGCCTACCGAGGGCTAGACAACCTGGAGATAACAGAGGGCTTTCATCAGCTGGCGGCGCCTCTGACACGAGAGGCCCCCTCGGAGGATGTTGAGCGGGAGTCGCCCTACAACGGACAGTACGACAATCTCTTGTACTTCTTTGCCAACATGTATGATCTCATACACAAGTACTATGACCACAACGATCTGATATCGTATCGACGTCCGATTTAGTATGAGAAGAGAGTTTATTGTATGAGATAAATACACGTTAATGTTATGTTAGTTTGGAATTCTCATTTCTTTTTCTTCTTGCCCTCGTCGCTGGAGTCGCCATTCTGTGGCTTGGGGTCTGTGATGACCGGCTTCTGCCATTTCACCGGATTTTTGCGATAGAAGGGCCATGGAGGAATGGTGATCTGAAAGGGTTTGATTAGCGCACCTGATACTATAGATATTGTAGGCCAACGGCTTACCAGTGAGGACAGCAGGAAGCCCACGCCGAGCACATAGACCGTCTGAGAGAACTGCTGCACAATCGCTCCGTAGATCAGGCCTACGACGCCGAAGAATGTGATGATGAGACGAGACCACCGCTCAGCCTTCCCTTGGCCCACAAAGTCCTGCACAGGGCGGAGATAGTTAAGTAAAAGTGTACGAATTCTCTGCCTTGTGAACCCACCATATGTGTTGGTATATCCAGCATTGTTGTATTAGATTTTATCCTCAAATTTTAAATTTTTCACGTAAACAAATTCGGAACGGCACGTCAGCATTAGAGGTGGAGAGCAGTGTGACCGTCAGAAATATACCAAAATATTTTTAAAATATACCGTAAATATACTGACTAATTCAAGTTCTGTTTTACATATTCCTCGTTTCTGATATTCCGTCGAATATTACTAGATATATAGCACATTTAGCCATGCCCAGACAATTTTATACGATTGATGAATCAATTCTATACTTGATTGGCAAGTTTTAAATCCTTGCTTTTATTGTATTTTAACTAAAACAGGGTTTAAGCAAAATAGTTGTTTAGGTATAGGTATTTGAAGACATGATGCGTGTATAGGCCTTTTTATACCCTATTTCGTTAAATTAATATGAAGATACATATGAAGATAAAACGTAATTAATAAAGACCTCTCAAATTGATATGCTTAAGACATATTCACGAATATGATTGGTATCTTGCATGTATATATCTCGATCCTGAGACCTATTCTTGGTTTCTTAGACTTCAAATACTTAGATCTCGTTGAATGGGGGAAAACCTTAATGAAATACTTTATGGACTGGGAATTGCTGGCATAGAATTTAGCATTAGCCCCGACCTTTATATAGTACAATTAATCCCAACTAAGGGCTTGGAGTCCGTTTACATATGTAGCAAAAGTCGGTAGAAGAGAGTAGCGGCTTCATAAGTACATATGTCCACTGTCGACCTCGCTCAAAGATTGCCTTGTTTCGCCGTTGTCTTTAAAGACTTAATGAAGAAAATGGTTGTACTAAATTGCGTTAATTCCTTAATCGACATGGGGACGGCAAACCTGTATGTATCTGGCCGATTTGATGAAGAATGGATAACATTGAACAATCAGTAAAAAGTCGATTCAAGTAAGATATAAAATGTAATGATTTTAATATATACTGGTTGATACAATTATTTGTACAATTTGTTAATGGCGGCTTGAGCCGTGGACGTTGGAGTATGTTTCGAACTAATAAATAAGTGGCGTTTGGGTAAAACTATGTTTAAATATAAGGCGAATGTGCGTTGGGAATGGCTCCGTTCATTTATTTTGCATCATGTTGATCGCTGTGGAATCTGCTGTTTGGTCCTACTCCTCAGACCCTGGCAGCCCGAGTGCGTCGAAGGTGGACAATATTGATCACACATATGGACAGCCAGGAGAAGACGGCCAGCCAGGCAAAGATCAAGGTGAAGTACAGACAAGCAGCGGTGTTGATGCGTCCATAGCGACGTCGCTCGTAGGAGATACTCTCCACCAGGAAGTCCATGAAGTCGAATATGGCTGCGCACGACAGACGCGACTTGAGCACGGGAACAATGTTGCCCACTCCCTGGATCTCCTTCAGCAGGGACTCGCGGTACTGCTTGCAGGTCACCTCGAATCCGTCCGTAAATACGGAGGCGTAGATCAGCTGATAGATGGCCATGATCAGCGAAATGACTGTGGCAGGAAGCCCTAAAAAGTGAAACGAAATGAAAAGGACGAGTTCTTTTTAGGATAACGTTAGTGAATCATTGGTGAACTACTCACAGTAGTAGGGGGAGAGACCATCGGGCGTCAATTCGGACTCGGTGGTGACCACAATCATGTCGCCGGATCTGTGTAGGGGGAACGAAATTTTAAGAAACTAATTGAAAAAGTATCAAATTCTCGGCGTTAGTCATACGCCAGGAGGAAGCATCTGCGGGGCTTCCATTAGCATAAGACCTAATTAGCGGAGTGTGGGGCGAGCTATTGCCGCCGATTAACCCACTTGACCCCCAGACACACTCGAATTAGACCACTCACCGCTGTCGAATGGTTGCGTGGCCCGATTTTCTCTGACCCTTCCCGATGCAGATCCGATAGCCATGGTAGATGCCCAGCACCACAGCGAAGATCAGGGGCAGTAGCAGTCCATAGGTGGCATAGTGGCAGTAGGCGATGTTCCCTCCCTCAAAACTGTTGTAGGTGCTCCGGCTGTGCAGCACGCAGCCGCAGTTCGTGTCCGGACAGGCGTTCAGGACGTAGCGCCAGTGAGACCAAGCCACTGCCGAGGTAATGCAGCAGATCACAGAGGACACGATCGTAAAGGGATAGAGATAGGAGAGCGCACGCTCCGCTGAGTACGACATCTTCGGTCTGGGCCTGATGGTGGATTAAGCAAATTTCAATTGCTTCAAGAACACTTTTACTGTCAATTAAATTTGTTTATACTACGTCTCACTCTCTCTCTCTCTCTCGCTCTCTGGGGCGTCACACGACACTCACACAATCAAACTGGCTGAAACGCGCACTGTACCACAATATAAACAAACAAACTTGTTACCCAGCTTGTTCCTCAAATTACTTTTCAGTGGGCTTTGCAGCTGGATATTATAGCTTTTCAGATGCTTTTTGTGTGGTCTTTTTCTTCAAATTCTCACTCAACTTTGGGCCAAAATAGCTGCGTTTCTGGCTTAGAACGCTGACACATACACTTACACAGGCGCACTGTAGTCACCAGTGATGCCAACCTTTAAGCAAAAAAAAAGCTGTTTCTAAGGTGAAAATATTCAAACAAAAATAGCGTAAATAATGGTGTTAACAATTTTGTTTTAAAGCGATATTTCATCCAGCTCCATACATTCACAATTATAAAAAATCCAGATCCAAATTCTCGCAATTCATATATTTTTCCCGCATCTGGTTATTAAAAAAGCCAAATCTGACGGGAAAAAAGCGTAATCGGCAGCACTGGTGGTCACACCTACGCTTATCGTTCCTCGGAGAGAGAGAGAGCGCCGATGAAAAAACATACTTAGCCCACTTAACCCCCCTCTATTTAAACGGGATGGAAACTGTAGTTAAACCGCTGGAAAACATATAAATAACACATATAATAAAAACTCCTGTTGGTCCATCCCAACCCTTTGCTTAAGAAAAGATCACGTTATATTTCACCTAAACTGCCCTAAAATATTTCGAGAATCATTATTTTCGTTTAGAGTATTTTAATACCTGGTCGACAATGGGACAATTCGTAAATCTAGCTGCGCAGAATAGGTTACATCCTTCCCTCTCTTTCTCTGCTTTGCCTACGTAGTCTTAGCGCGCGCCAAATTCGAACTGCAAGCAGGTTAGCAGCACCTAGGCGAAACAATTCGAATTAATATGTTCCCTGCCACGCATTACTTATACGGGTGATTGCAATGAATGAAATCTGTCTGTGCCACCGCCAGCCCCTTCCATTACCTGGCCGTGGGCCAGGCGCCAACAACAACATGCAAGAATCGGCCGGCTGCAACAAATGACGCCTGCACTCGCCATGTTCTGTGAGCGGAGCGTTCCTCCATCTCCTGCATTGCCCCAACGAGGCAGCCGATTCGACCAGGTTTATTTTGGCAAAAACCATTTTCCGCGGACGCCTGAATTTTCTCAGTTGCCAGAGAGTTGTGGAGCTGTCCACTACGCGGAACAAGTCTCAATGTAAAAACCGAAAAGTGGGAAAGTATCGTACGGATTCCCGCAGCCAATTTGTCAGTAATTTGCTGTCAAAGACAATCAACAACAAAAGTGAAAACACAATTGCAAATTGCCAAGTAATTCCCCGTACATTGTTGCAGACGTTACGAAATTGCATTCGCGCTGATTGCTGAACTGCAGCCGCGAGGAATCTCGTGCAGAGCCAGCGAAACTTCCTATAAATAGATCCCTGCCCAAAGGGTAAAACAAATTTTGACGTGTATTCTCAAATAAAAAACAAAAAATATTGAGAAAAGAACGAAAGAAATTTGCATAATTGGGCTTTTGCCATTTTTGAGTGCAGTGCTCGGAAAATTCTCTAATTTGATGAGCTGACTGAAAATTGAGGCAGAGCAAAAAGTAATTAATTAATTTAATGCCTGTTTCTGTTTTGCTTAATATTCGTTTATTTATAGAGTGTCTAACAAATTTGTTTAGTCATTTAACATAATGGGTAACTATGTCTTTCTAAACCGTAGAATACGTGTTTGACCCACTAGATAGACATATAATCATAGCTTTTTGTAGGTTAAAGTACGTTTCATGCATGAGAGAAACCCTGGGCTTAAGAACAATCAAAGTGGCTTCTATAGAAAAAGTTTCCTTAACTGCCAAGGACATCTTCATTCAAATAAACGTTGAACAGTGCGTCAGAGAAAACTTACATATTTAGTGTTGGAAAACAAGCAGTCGCCAAGCAGTTGATCGCATGCCAAAGAGCTGTCTGCAAGCAGGGTGAGCAAACAGGTCTCTATATATACTGCTTGGAGACGTAGCAGTTAATATTTAAACTCCAAACCCACCATTTCTAGAAGCCACATTGAGTGTTTCTTAAAAAAAATGAATGAAACTTATGAATGAATGCTTTGGCTACTTATAGACGCATATACCAAGACACCACCGACACAAACCGGCGCCCGCCTGTATATAGTGTATCGATATAGAGCCAGACATAGATCCGGAATCAGAAACACATACCACCCCCACACGCAGACAGTTTCCCAGAGACACGTGAAGTGACGTAAAGTTAACCCGATGGATAATTGGAATGTTTTGGCAGCGCAAACATCAGCCCAAGCTATTGGACGCGATGATACGGTGGTAAAAACGCGACTGGTGAGTGTCATTAAACAAAACAAAACAAGCCGATCGATTGTATATAGAAGAACTACTCGTCGTATATAGAGAACAATTGGCAGACCCCAAACAAACGCATTCCTATGTACTCGTCTGTAGCGAGATCTGGGTGGTAGAGTGCGTGAGTGGGTAACTGGGTGATGCCTGGGGGGCGTCCTAGCCAGAGCAACAGCTGTTTCGGCTGAGTCGAATGCTCCTCTCTCTGGCACTGGCTCTGGCACTGGCACTGGCTCTGTTGTGATCGTTACTAGCACTCATCTATAAATAGGAATCCGCTGGTGGTGGCGGCGGTTCTCTTTTGGGGTCTTTTGGAGATTTCGATTCCGATTCTGATGCCTTCTCGCAGTAGCGCGAAAGTAGCTCGGTCCGACGGACTCGCACCAGACAGAGCACACCAGACCACGCAGTGTTCATCTACGCATATATTTTATATAAGCAAGTGCCTTCCAAATCAGTGCCTATATACGGATCAGAGATCTATATACGAGACATACCTGAGCAATGGACATATCCACGGATATCTGGGGTCAGCTGGCCGTCGAGGCATCCCAAGTCTATCTGTCCGATGGCACAGTTCGCAGTCCCTTTGCCGATACGGTACAACGAGTTTGGGGAACATTTTGCCATATGCTCTTTCTATATCTAAAGTAACACTGTGCAACAAAACGGACACTATTTCAACATCTTCTGGAAGTTTTTTCTTTATATTATATACATATGAAGCTGTTTCTGTGCATATCCTTAAGAACAGAAACTTCTTCAGGTTGTTCTCTGAGTGAAAAGTTTGTTGTCTAGTGTAATTGGGTTGAGAAAAAGACATATAGAGAGAGGTGATTATTGAAATAACTAAATAATTATTTTCTATACCAACCCTGTGACAGACCATCGAGAAACTGCCCGACAAGGTGCTGCTGCACATCTTCTCGTATCTGTCGCACCGCGAGATCTGTCGCCTGGCTCGGATCTGTCGTCGCTGGCGCCAGATTGCCTATGATACGCGCCTCTGGAAGAATGTGTCCCTCAGGCCGGAGGTGTCGGGTCTACATGTGGGCTCCCTGGAGATGCTTCTCCAGCTGATTTCGGTGAGATTCGGGCCGACGCTGCGGTACATCGAACTGCCCATCGAGCTGATCACTCACACGGTGCTCCACGAGCTGTCCGGCAAGTGCCCCAATCTGACGCACATGCTGCTGGACTTCTCCACGGGTAGGTACAACGAGTGGCGAGCGATTGGCCTATCCATCTAATGGTGCTCCTTTTAGCCATGCAGCTCCACGATTTCAGCGAGATGCAGACCTTCCCCACAAAGCTGCGCTATATGTGCATCTGCCTCTCGGAGGTTATCTTCATGGAGGGCTTCATGCGAAAGATATACAACTTCATCAATGGCCTGGAGGTGCTCCACCTGATTGGCAGCTACGAGAAGTGCGAGGAGGACGAGGAGGAGATCTACGAGGTCATCAATGTGCACAAGCTCAAGTCGGCGACGCCCAATCTGCGTGTGATCAACCTGTACGGAATCAACTTCATCGACGACTCGCACATCGATGCCTTCAGCTCCAACTGCATCCAGCTGGAGTGCCTGGCCGTCAACTTTTGCAACAAGGTCACGGGATCCACCCTCAAGACGCTCATCCAGCGATCCAAACGTCTGACCTGCCTGCTCATGAATGGCACCAGCCTCAAGTCGGAGTTTGTGATGCAGGCGGAGTGGGACAAGTGCGCCCTCCAGGAGCTGGATATCACGGCCACGGATCTCTCGACTGAATGCCTGGTGGACATGCTGACGCGTATACCCAGCCTGAAGTTCCTCTCCGCTGGACAGATCAATGGCTTCAACGACAGCGTGCTCAAGCTGTGGATGGAGTCGGGAAATACCAGGTAAAGTGGAATCGAAATATGTAGTTGTTGTTGTCGATACTCAGGTGATGTTCCCACACGTTAGACCTCTGATTTCTCTGGACTTGGACTCCTCGGATAACATCACCGATGAAGGCTTGCTGAAGTTCCTGCAGCGTCACGGACACCAGCTCAGTGCCTGCTGCCTCTCGGGCATGCCACACATCACGGATCAGCTGTGGATGAGCATCCTGCCGCTGCTGGGCAACTGCAAGTAAGCAAATCTCTATATCCATCCAGTTACAGAAATACAGGGCCTCATGCTTTGCTTTACCTTCCAGAATCGTTGTCATGGGAACGGCGGAGAAGCTCGGCGTGAATATCCATGTGGACCAGCTTATGGACACCATTGCCTCCAACTGCGGCAACCTGGAGCGTCTGGAGCTGCGCTGGGATCCTGACAATCTCCGCTTCTCCGACAAGAGCCAAAAGGCCATCGATATTCTGCGCGTCAAGTGCCTCAAGCTGCGCTGCATGGTCCTCAGGTGAGTCTCAGGGTCTTGTCTTGACCTCCTGAAAGCCTCTCATCCCACTCCTTCTGTCCACAGCGATGGCCGCTACTATGAGACGGTCAAGGCCAACTTTGAGCGCGCCGATCGCATCACTGTAGTGCGTACCACCACCTGCTGCCGGGTGTCTCCTTATCATCTGCTGCGCAACTACAATGATTTGATCTTTAACTAAGGTCCAGTGAAGAGGAGCTGATACATACAGTGCGTTTAACAAGAGTTCTCTCTCGAACTGTTTGCTTCTTCAATGTTAATTCTTTTTTGTCCTAGTCCTCGCTACCACCATCCATCCATCTTATAGCTCTAAAACGCACTGTACTGCAGTTTTTGTTTAAATGTTACCTACCGGATCCTTTGGGAATACAGATGGTAGATGGAGATGGAGAGGATCCCCAAAACATGTCTCTAGTCAAAAGGCTTTACAATCGTTTCTGTGTGTGTCGCTTACATTATATCGTGTTTTGTTGTTTTCTGTATTTTCCGCTTCTTTCGTTTGATTAAATTAAATCTAAATAAACGTACATAGGTAATTTAAATAAAAATAAAAACAAGAACAAAGGATTTGCTTATTCAACATTCTTTTTACATTACAAAATTATACAACGTAAGTTTTGCGTTTCCCTCAAACGTTCTCTGTGCTGATTCTCGCTTCATTCGTCCTCTCTTCGCTCTCTTCTCTCGCGTTTTTAACTAACTTTACTTGGTAACTTGATTAAATCATTTTCAGACTTCCCCACATACATGTAATTTGTTTACTGATCTTTCTTTTTTTGTTTGTTTTGTTTTTTACACTGTTTCATCCGCTGCAGAACTTAGGTCTAACGTTTTTTTGTGTGTTTCAACATTTTTGGATCAACTTTTACCATAAACTTAACGTACATATGTAGATCTCTGGTTCAAATTTCGTCTCGATCAGCGCTCTATTATATGCATGGTATATAATTTAATTAAGCATGGCTGTATTTGTTTATATATGTATATATGTGTATATGTTTATGTCGTGTGTGCCTATGAGGATCGAAGGTGCGTGCGTGTTTGTGTGTATGTGTGTGTGTGTTGGGTGTTGTAGGAATAGATTGCTTTAAACGTATGAAGAAGCCCTTCTTCACTAGACAGATTCGCATTTTTACATAAGTACACTAACACACAGAACAATCAAGTGGTAGATAGATATATAGATTGATTGATAGACAGATAGAAGGTACGCGAGCAATCTCGATCCGATCAATCCCTCATCGCTCACTGCTGTTCCTGGGTAACCCGGAAGATGTGCGTGGTATTGCTGGCCGCCGCGGTGGCCACAGCCGCCGCTGCCGACGTGGCTGACGTGGCCGACGGTGTTGGGGGCTGGTTGGAAGCTGTGATGAAGCTGGCATTGCTGCTGCTGGCGGAGACCGAAGCGGATCGTGCCTCGGCAGCAGCGGCTGCTGCCTCGGAAATAACTGCCGCTGATTCCGTTGCGGCATTCGAGGTGGAGGCGGCTGTGGAAGCCTCCGTCGCATCGGCAGCGATGGCCCTCTCCGGTAGGCGGCCCGTGGCCCCAGCGTTGTTCGCATCCTGTGGCGAAAAATCAAAGAATTAGCACCGTGATCTATTTCGCTGAGAAGCAAAGAACAATTACGTCTCGGGGATACAGGTGCTCTGCTTGCTCAGCCTCCGCTGGCTCAGGCTCCGGCACATTCTCCTCGGCCTTCTCAGTGTACATCATTATCTCATGGCATAGGGGGCAGCGATCCTGGACATACAGCCATTTGCGTAGGCAAACGCCGTGGAAGAAGTGGCGGCAGCGCGTGATCTTGGCCGAGTACATTTCCTAAATGGCGAGAAAGCGGTCATGAGTAATCACAGGAGGATTCTGGAGTTTGAATAAAAAGAGCAACCACCTGATAGCAAATGGCGCAAACATCGTCGAACGCTTGGAGCTGGGCCGGCGTTGCCTCCGGTAGGGACGAGATCTTGTGCACGGCCGAACGTCGCTTCATGAACACCGACCAGCCAGCTCGGGCCTCGCACCAGATATTGAAATAGGCGTGGATGCACATCATGATGGCTCTGATGGCGCCGCCTGTAGCATTGTGGGCTATCAAGTTATAGTTATCGATACACAAAATCAACCAAATAAAAATATTACATGCACACACGTAACAAAAAAGCTAGACCAAGAACCAGGACCAGGACCAAATGATAAAACTGATACAAAATTCAAATTTATAAAAGGAACCCCCAATCGGATGGATGGATGGATTCATTTGCTCACGTGTCGATGTAATTGGAGACTCATCTCCGCGCAGCGGCTGCTACTTACCCGACTCGAAGATCAGTATCCAGGCGCCGTTGATGAACAGTAGAATGCCGAAGCAGAACTCCACTGAATTGCCAAAGGCACGCACATAGTACAGATAGTCATCAAGCTTCTCCCAGAAGAACTGCCGGCGGGCGTCCAGCAAGAACAGCGTGTACGTGGCCAGCGAGACGAGCACCTGCAGGGGCAATCATTTCGTAGTCAAGGCAATGGCAGAGCGCTAATCGTTTCGAATACAAACCTTGACGATCACCTCCACTGAGAAGGCGGTGACTGCCAACAGCCATGTGGAGATGGAGCGCTGCAGCCACAAGTAGTACAACAATGAAACGGGCGTCACAATGAGGAATGCGCAGACGGTGAGGGCTCGCACGTGGCGTTTGCGTGACGGATTTCGAGCCGCACTCAGCGACATCAGTATGGGCGAGACGATGTTGTGCAAGAAGTGCAGCAGGGCGGTCATCAGAAGACATAGGTTTCGACACAAGCGCACAAATCGCTTCTCCGGCGACAGGGATGTGAGTCCAGTCTGCAGGGCTAGGATGTAGAAGAGCACCGCAGAGACGGTGCCCAGCGATTTCTCCTCGTCGTTGTCGTAGGTCATCAAAAACCACTGAAAGCCTCGGCCAATGTAGTGGCATATCATGGATATCACCCCCGTCATGCCCAGTACGGCAGTCAGTGTCTCGCAGCCATCGACCAGGAGCTTCTCGATTGCCGGAAACAATTGGAAGGGCTCATTGGAATCGGCGACGGCCAGGGCATAGCCTCCCTGAATGATTCTGCAAAGGAGGATTGATCCCCATTAGACGAAACGAACGTCTATCGAAAGTTCAGATCTTACCGGATTGTCCAGAACACACGCAAGACATTGGGCACATTCAGTCGCTGCCACTCGTTCTCGATCAAAGCGGAAAGGCCAAAGTTGGTGACAAAGTTCATGGCGTATTGGTAGCCATTGTACACCGTTCGACTGGCCTCCATGGAGCTGTACACCATCGTGACCAGCGTGAGGATAATGGGCGTGGTGCCGGCTATCACTGGCAGGTGTTCTACCACGTGCGGTGGCAGCGGCAGCATGGCAACCAGAATGGGACTAGTGAATATAATGGGCATTGACTTCTGCAGCAGTTCGTATCTCGGTCCTAGGTGTATGTACGCGAAGAGCATGCCCATGAACCACTGCGCCATGACGTGCGGCGCCAGCGACATGATCACCCCGCCCGAGTCCAGTAATCTCGTCGTGTTGAGCGATATCAGGTCCTCCAGTATGCAGGGACTCCGCTCCATGAGCGCCAGGGCGCTCACATTTGACCAGTAGGAGAGGAACGTGAGTCCGAGGGAAGTGAGAAACATGTACACCATCACCAGGTGCCGCGTCCAGAGCATGAAAATGCAAGCGGCGGATAGGAAACCTGAAGCAATCAAATCAATAAATAAACATTGGTATTTTGTATACGCCCGAGGTGCGGACGGGTTCAAAGTACGAGCGATAAGGTGTTCTGGGCAAACGACCCTTAGTACTGGAGAACCCACCACCCGGTGACAGGGGGCAGGTGCCATAGGCCCACTTACCGAATAGGCATATCATGAATTTGACCGTCGTTATGCTGAGGACATCCGATAGCGTCTCGTCGTGTGACAGCTCGGTCATGAGCATGTTAAAGCCGGTGCTGAGCATCCCGTCCTTCATCGCCGATTTAGAGGCATTATCGATGGACTGTTCGAGTGGGCTGGCGGTAGGGATCACGGGGCTTTGGGCAGCATCGCCCAATCCGAAGAACGCCTTGAGGGCGACGAATGCATCGGCTGCGGCTCCCGGTGTATCTGCATCGGCTAGAAAACCCACATCCTCTGCTACCGGCGACTGGGGCGGATTGGTCTCCGGATAGAATCGTGTGGGCAGGCCCATGCCAATCTTCAGTATCTCATCGATGACCAGCACGGGCGGCACCCGCATCATCACATCCACCAGGCCCAAAACCTTAGTGCGCATGGACATGACTATGGCTTGTCTTTTCGTCTGTTCGGCGGCGTTTGTGGCTGATGCGACGTGACACTGCACTAATCGGCCCCGTCCGTCCACCCGTCCCTTCGACGCGTTCGTTGATCGGCGGCGATTCCAATTTTCAATTTATCTACCTTCCCCCAAGCGATGGCACACGCATTTGGAGCTGATTGCTGTTTGCTTTGCTGGTTTCTACGTGGATTTCTGTTGCTCTAACTGGTCTGGGTTTCGTCTTGGATTTCGCAAAAAGAATAGCTGCACAGGTGTGTGTGTGCGTGTGTATGTGTTGGTGTGTATGCACTGGCGAGAAGTATTGGAAGGAAGGGGGTGCAAAGGCAGGTGGTAACGTTAAAGGTTTTTCCTTCGATTCAGCTCTCGGATTTTGTCGCACAAATATTGCTGCTCGTTGGGTGTTTTCGTTCGCTGTTCGGTCCCTCGCTTGCGGACCAACAATTACCTTTGCAAATACATATGTACGTGTTTTGCGTTTGCCTCGATTTTTCGACTTTGTACGAACTTTACACTTTGTTTTTCTCCTCTAGAAAATAAAAAAAAATTGCCAAAAAACAACCAAATTAATTTATTGTAGTACAGCAAACGTTTTGTTTAATTTATTTTATTATTATTATTATTATTTATTGTTTATTTTCATGTATTTTTACTTAATTGCAAAATATTGGCAAATGCAACCGTGCACTTGTATGTCGATATTCGGTTCTATCGGATTCCCACTAAAGCCCCCTCTATTTAAATAGTTCAACTACTTGAGGTAAATGGCGCAAAATATTACTGATTGTAAATTCTTCTTGAGGATTCATGCCATCTCTACTATGATCTTAAAAAAACCACGATATTTTTCAGCTGAAGTGCGCTAAAATGATTCAATTTTCTCTAGTTTCAGTGGAAAATTGAAATACCCCCTTGGCTTATAATAGGTTAATCGTTCTCCGTCAAGGACTGGAAACCATTTTCCTCGATTCTGATATTCCGCTGAATATTACTGGCTAGATAGAACATTTAGCCATGCCCACGTAATTATATCCGATTAATTAAACTATTCTCAACTTGACTGGCTTATTTTAAACACTTGCTTTTATTGCATTTTGCGTAAAAAGAGGTTTTAGCGCAATAAGTCAAACAAAAAACAAGTAGCGAAATGGGTCAATCAAAACAAACAAAAAAGGAAATTGCTCAATTTGATATTCCATTTAATAATGCTGACAAACTAAATCGTTCAGTAATGCCCACATAGTTTTATCCCATTGATGAATAGATTTTCTACAAGATTGGATAGTTTTTAATCCTTGCTTTTATTGTATTTATTGTAAAAAAAGGTTCAAACGGAAAAGTTCAACAAAAAAACAATTGCTATGTTGCTTGTAAGCCTTCGTATAGGCCTTTGTATACCCTATGTTGTTAATTTTATATGAAAGTATGAATATTGATATGAAGATGACACGTAACTAATAAAGACCTTTTCTCAAATTTACATTTTTTAGACATATTCATGTATGTGATGAGTTGTATATATATATCTCGATCCTGATACCTATTCTTGGTCCCTACAAGAAGACAATAAGCTTTAAATAATCGTTGAAATATTGAAAAATATATTGAAAATAAATAGTTTTTGCCTGGGGTGACAAACATATTCACAGTTCTATAACATCCATTTCCCCCAGGGTATGTGTGCATGGAATGGGACTCATTGTTGTCAACCGGTTATGACGACTAATTCTTGGTTATTCTTTCTTCCGTCAAATATTCCTGGCTATATAGATCTCTTATTTTTGCCCAGATAATTTTATATGATTGCTGAATCAATTTTGATCAAGATTTACTACTTTTAAGTACTTGAAAATCTTTTATTTTGACAAAAACACGATTTAAACAAAAATGTTCAATGTCGCAGGTTGTGGCGTCAATGTTGCTGGCATTTGCAGACTCTTTGTTGTCAACCAGGGTATGGCCGTTTGTATACCCTATTTCGTGAATATTATATAAAGATACTGTTTTCCAACCTGCTTTCAAATCTAATTAGTAAAGACCTTGTCTTAGATTGCATTTTTTTGGTCTATTCATGCATTCGATTAGGTTCTTGTATATAAATCCTGATCCCCATACCAATTCTTGGTCTCTGTAAGAAGACCACTAATTGCAAAATATCGTTTAAAATAGATACTGACTAGTTTCTGCATTAAGTAGAGCATGGGATGAAACACATTTCCGCAATTCTATAACATCCATTTCCCCCCAGGGTATGTGTGCATGGAATTAGCAACATGTTTGTGTATGGAGTGAGACTCATTGTTGCTAAAGCGAATTTGCGGCGAACTGCGGCGAATTAAAAAAAACGACCAATTCCTTATATTCTTTGTTCCGTTGAATAATACTATTTATATGGAACATTTAGCCATGCCCACTTAATTTTATACGATAGGTGAATCAATTTCCTACTTGATTTGCATAATTAGAATAATTGCATTTATTGGATTTTGTTTAAAAAAGGGTTTTAGCAAAAAAGGTCGAAGAAAATGGATTGTCACTCATTGAGAGAGAGTGAAAGCGGAGCCTCTCGTTCGCTCTCTTGAGTGATTCTTTGAGTGATATGGAACATACTATTTATTTTTATACGTACACTTTGTTTTTCTCCTCCTTGGCCGAACTTTACCTGTGAGAGCTGTTTTGAGTGAAATTTCGAGTGAGTTTTTCTCCTGTACTACTCCTGTTTCCTTTTGTTCTTGCGATAGGTGCAACTATCGTGCGAGCTATCGTACAGTGGCTTGACCAGTGTTGCGTTGTGACTGCGGGCACAGCTGATTTAAGAAGTTGCGCGCGGGAAAATTAAATTTTGAATTTTTCTGTTGGGTTAGGAGAAAAAATGGAGGTCAAGACAGGTGAATGCTTTTTGGAGCTGTACCCAAAATTAAAATTAAAAAGTAAACTAGATGTAAACATTTATATATTGGACTTTTGGGACGGCGCCTGCTGGTCGCATGCTTTACAGAAACTCTAATTTCCATGTTTCAGATGTGTTTTTCATTTCCTTGAAAAGTTGTTTCCGTGCCTAATAATGTGTAAAATGCCCTCATAGGTTCTACGAACGATTCTTGGGTACACATTTTCCGCATTCTTTCAAACAAAACCCTCGAGCTTGGCATTTAATCGCCTCGTACCCATTCCCAATTCCCTGCCAATCCCTGACCGCAGACCCATAGAGTGGTTTACGTGAATTTCCTCAATTGTTCGGTCATTAACTTTTGCCATTTTGAACTTTAATTGTTGTTCTTTCTTGTTTGTGGCACAAAACCCTAAACCCACTCGCATAGCTCCTCGCCCCGACCCGTATGCAAATGCACAAATTGAGGCAACGGCAACGGCAATGCAGTCGGATCTGGGCCCCCCCTCCAAGTGCCCGTCAAGTGCCCCCAAGTGCCCCCAAGTGCCCCCAAAGTGTGTGCCCAACGCTCGTAATTATGCGCAATTGTTTAGCGTTTAGCTCAAAAAGTTCAACTAACATAATTGATTTTTCATGCCGCGCCACCGCCACAAGAATTTTAAACAAACTGCACAGGTCATAAAAAACAACAACCAAGTCGGGGAATGCATGTTTTCTGGATTTTGTTTCGCCTTAGAAGAAAGTGAAGGGTATTTTTCCTTAGTTTTGGCTCCAAATGGAAGTCAGGAAAAGGAAAGAGGGTAGGCTCAAGGAGCATTTGATGTTAGAGCATCTAATAGTCATCTTTCTTATGTGACGACTCCTTCTTGGCTGATAACCATTTCTGTTCCTTGGCCCGGTCCTGGGCCTGGTCTAATTTGCATAGTTTTCACGAGTTTTGGGGGCAACGTCGACCGATTTGACGGGCCAGCAAATTGCACAAATTACGATGGCTGGGGGCTCGGGATCGGGATCGGGCAGAGGCGAACACTGTTAACACTCCCATGGCACACAGCATGGCAGTGGCGGTGGCAGTGGCCCCAAATATGGGCCTCATATATTTAATATAATCAGTGTAATTGTCATTGGCGATGAGCCGGGGGACCGGGGGACCTCGATATGGACCTGCAACTGCAACTGCCACTGCACTGGCACTGCCACTGCAATGGAAACGAAACCCTCTCTCTTTGGAGCTGGATGCTCGATGCTGGAAGCTGGAAGCTGGCGATCTTCAGGTCTCACGCATGGCAATTGTATAATTTATCGCTCCAGTTCTAATCGGCAGCTGTCAGTGTCCGGCCAAGACAGCTGACCAGGCTGACTGGCTGGCTGGCCGCTCTGGTCCGGCTGGTGATCTCGGGGGAACGATTTAATTCGCCGGCCATATAAGTCGGAAATTTGTACGTTGATTAACGCGCCAATCGTTTTACACAACAACGTACAAAGTGTCGATGGTCTCGATGTCGTCCCGCACTACCTCGTACCCCGTACCCCGTGCCCCGTGCCCCGTACCCCTGCCCATTGCCAATCCAATTCCATCTTCCCCCCGACTGTCTCTATGTGTGATTTCATTACACTTAAAGCTATGCCCGGACAGCACTCGGTGGCGAATTGGAAGGACCTAGACCTGGACACGGACCTACATATGAACACGTGAAGTGAACCACTGCAATGCGTTCCCAGCATGATTACCACTCATAGATAGCCAAGACGTGGCTGTCGGTGGCGGCAACTGGAAACCTGCTGGGACGCCAAATGAATTAGCTGCCGTTAACGCTGCTGCCGATGGGGCTGCCGTTGGTGATGCCCACGGACCACGGACGGCAGGTCTAGAGTTTTCTAGAGACTATAATACCTATGAATTCAGCCACAACTCATTGAGGCACTTCGAAAGCATCTAATGCATCTATGGCTTCAAGGACAGAGGCACAGACCGATGGATACGCACTCGATCAAAAGAATATACCCTTGAACTGCACTTTTGCCAGGTATCAATAAGTGGTGAAAGGAACTGACGATGGGAGAAGGTGCATCTTCAGGATGGTAATATCTGGTAATACTCACGAAAATCTTCAAAAGGTGTTCACTTTAGGATTCATAATTCAGCATTTTGCGTGACCTAAAAATAAACTAGTACTGCGACCCATGATCTTCTCTAAACAAATTGCAAGGGGAAATGAAATGTTTATGGTTCGGCTGGAACTCGGTCAAAACAGCGAATTTTTTAAAGTCAATATGACAGATAAGACTATCTGATTGTGATTGCTAGACAAAGGCGTTTGTGAGGTAAGTGTTTTATAGATGATAAGAATTAAGCAAACACAATGTTGGGACGATTGCGGATCGCAGTAGTGATCGGGAAATCGGCGGAGCAGCTATTGGAAAATAGGGAATATACGAGGTTAGTTCTTAAAGCTCCAATGAATTACTCACATTAACTGTTTCCAATCTTACATTGAAGCAATACTGCTCCCGAAAAGATGGATCGATCGAAGATTGCACTGAAGATGTATCCTTGCTGCGATCCCTTTCCTTATTCTTATTCCTTTCCGATTTAATTGGATGATCTTGCTCCATATTCGCAATTCAGATTCCGGTTTGTCATAATTGCCTCTGCAGAACTGTCTCGTCTCGTCTCGTATTTTATAGTGAAATTGATTTAGCCATGGTCGTGGCCGTGGCCGTGGCCGCAGCACCCCAAAAACGAGGGCCAATTATCTTTTGCATTCGGAGAATAATTAGGAGCTTGATTGACATGCGGGATAAGGAGACATACACTTGGAATGCCATAGCAAATTATCGAACGGCTACTGTGCAGAGCTGATCCACAAAAATCAAAGGCCGTAACGACAACAGCCACAGTCAGCAGACAAAGAGGTCGAGGATGGGGACTGGGGACTGGGGATTGGGGATGGGACGAGGTTGAGGACGACAACGACGCCTTCCATTTATTGGCTGCTGCGCCTTTGTCTGCACATAGAGTGGTAATCTGATGCTAAGGCCCGATACAGAAGCCAGTCCCAAAACAATGACCAGAGGACCGCGGGCCGGGCCGAGCCGGGCAGCGCTGGAGCTTGAGATGGAGACGGAAACCCGTTTTCGGCAAACGGCAGCGCAGCAATTACAATATGTTTAACTACGTCAGAGCGTTATCTGCGGCCCGAAGCCTGGACTTTTTGGGTCTCTTCTCGATCGTCGATCGCCGATCGTCTCGTCCATGGGTCCATGTCAGCGATTAATCCAGCCGACTGGCTGCCCCATCAAACCGAGGCGACCCGAACCGAACCGAGCCGAGCAGAAACGCTTGTTAGCCCCAACTGGGGCTGTGGATGGGGCTCGGGGCCGCCGCCTCATCATCGATTGTGTTATCGATGGCGTTGCCAGTCTCGGCCTCTGGTCCGACCCGCGGACTGGTCCTGGCCTGGTCGTACTCGGGCTTGGAGCTTGGAGCTTGGCCTTACCGGCTTGGCCTGGAATCTCATTTGCGATTAAGTTCTTATGGCCACTGTGCACATTTCGTGGAAAGTTGGCCAGCAGATCTTTATTGTTCGATTGGTTTATTTATAATAATTAGGTGCGCTGTCCCAGCGACTTTGTTTTACTTCTGAGACTCTGCACTCGAGCAGCTCTCGGCTTATCGACTTGGCCAAGGCTGGCCCATAAATTCTTTAAGCTCGCACCTTTTTATTGTGCGCACTCACACACTCTGGTCTGGTCTGGTCTGGTCTGGATCGGACCTGGGCTCTGTCTCCTCCTGGCTTTGGCTGTGGATGCGGCTCTGGGTCTGAGTCTGGCACTGCCTTCCTGCTGATTGCAATCGCAGTTGCGCATGCGCGAGGACCACAAACTGCAAAGAAGTGCCACAGAAGAGAGGAGCCACCTCAAGCCTGTTCTGTTCTGTTCTGTTCTGTTTGCCCAACCCGGTAGCCGGTAGTCGGTAGTCGGTAGCCGGTAGTCGGGTGGAGCGCGTTCCTTTGGTAAATTGCTCACATTAGCAGGTTGTACGACTTATTAAGTAAGCACAATTTGCGTGGCCGCCGTTGCCGTCGCCACCGCCCAAATCAACAACAAAAAAAAACACCACTGGAGCTGGAAAAAAGGAAGGAATACGAAAATAATGGGGAGCCGTTAAAGGTGGCGACCGGGAGCCGCCTAGCCCGACAAGTGATTGTTTTATAATTGCAATCGCAATTGCAGTTCGATGGCAATGCGTTGCCGCCAAATTGCCTCTTGGGGCATTGGGACATTGGGGCGGTCCCGGGGATTTAGGAGCTCTTTTGGTAGGCTGGTTGGCTTGTTGGCGAAATTGGCAATCCATTTGAATGAATAATTGCTCAATTACAGCCACCGCCTAACGAGGCAGGTGCCAGAGCGAGTGCGAGTCACACTTGCTACTGGGCGGAAAATTGTACTGGAAATTTGTCCAATTCGGGCAGCATGGGTGGAAGCCCAAGTAAGTAACTGGTTAAACTTAATTGGAGTTGAGGGATTAACTGCTGGCAGTGGCTGGAGTGTAGGGTATCGGGTATCGCATATTTGCCAAAAACCAGGCGGCCAGCAAATTAAATACAAAATATTTTAGCCTCCGGGCCGATTTAAGCACTCAGATTAGCCCAAAGTCTGAAGGCTGAAAAGCGCGACAAAAATGGCGCTAAGCCCGCGGAGAGACAATAAGAGACGGCACGGCACGGCGATTGCTGTTGGTTTTGTGTTAGGGTGAAATCGTGGAATAAAACTGGACCAGTTTAAGCGGAAGCAGTGGCAGTGCCACTGGCAGTGGCAGTAGAAGACGGCAGGCAATGCGATGGTTTGTGATGAGGACTGGGAACTGGAGTGGGTCTTGGCTCTGCTCTGATGCTGGATCTGTGGATCTCTGGCTTCTGGCTGCTGGCTGCTGTCTGCTT